CTAGAATGTTTTTCACTTCATAATGGTTTTCCCCTTGCACTACTATAGGAGGAAGTGGGCCCTGGGTCCAAGGCCTTAACCTAGATCCCAAGGCCAGTTTTAATAGGCTACAATGAAACACAGGATGTATTTTCCTTAGAATGCTGGGGAGATTAAGCTGAACTGTCATTGGATTGATTACTTTCACTATTGGGAATGGGCCTGAGAACCTAGGTCCCAATTTCTTGGTAGGCAATCTTAGCCATATATATTTGGTGGACAGAAAAACTTTGTCTCCCACTTGGAAGAGGGGATGAAGGAAACAATGCTTATCTGTCTGTTTTTTATATTCCTCAGCAGTGTCTGCTAGTGCTTTCTTCATATTCTCCCAACTCTTCCTCAAAGGCTCCATCCACTCAGTCACAGTCATCAAAGAGGGGAGGCTCTCTGGGTAGTTCTGGCATGGGGACAAATTAAATGCTGCTGGTGACTTGGAAGGGGGTTAGTCCAGTACTGCTATGCACAGTGTTGTTATAAGCCACTTCTGCAAATGGCAATAAGTCTGCCGAGTTCTCTTGCTGGTAATCCACATAGCATCGTATATATTGTTCCACCATGGTGTTCACTCTCTCCTCCGTGGCATTAGTACTTAGATGAAAAGCTGAGCTAAGTCCTTGTGTGGATCTGACTGATCTCAAGAATTCCCTCCAGAAATTAGCTGTGAACTGGACCCCTCAATCCGAGATGATTCAGCGGGGAATTCCATGTAGTCGGTAGATGTGCTTGATGAACAATTTAGCTAGCTTCTTCACAGAAGGCAGTCCGGAGCAAGCAACGAAGTGTCCTTGCTTGGAAAATAAGTCAATTACTGTCCAAATGACTCTGTTTTCCCCATCTCTGGAAGTTCAACTATAAAATCCATTGCCATGTCTTCGGAAGGTAAACTGGGGCTTCCTACTTGTTGAAGGAGCATTTTGTGAACAAATTGTGCCTATTAGGTTTATATTAGGTTTACACAAACACACACATACTTTGTCATTGTACATTACACATACAACGAAATTCACATAACACCCAGAGACCAGTCACAACACCCATAATAATCCCCAAACACCCACCCACCCACCAAGAAAAAAACTCCGCCCCTGAACCACCCGAACATCCACATAGCAGACCAAGTAGTACTGACCAATAGCTCACTGATGGTGACCTTTAGTTCATTGTTGAGTGCAATTATAGCTCTGGGATAAAAACTATTCAGAAGGCGTGTGGTCCTAGTTTGAATTCTGTATCTTCTGCCAGAAGGCAACAGTCTAAAAAGATTGTAAGCAGGATGGGAAGAGTCTCTGAGGATGTTATGCAACTTCCTTAAACAGCGAGATGTGAAGATGTCGTCCAGGCTGGTAGCTGGAGCCCGATGATATTCTGGGCAGTTTTAATAATTCTCTGTAGAGCTTTTTTGTCTGCTGCAGAGCTGCTCTCATACCATGCAAGAATGCCGTATGTCAGGACACTCTCAATGGTGCTGCAATAGTAGGAGAGAAGTAGATGCTGAGATAGATTTATCTCCCTTAGCATTCTCAGGAAGTATAGCCTCTTCTGTGCCTTCTTCACAAGCATGTTAGCATTCATGGTCCATGAGAGGTCCTCTGAGATATAAATGCCCAGAAATTTAAAGCTACCAACCCTCTTCACCTCCTCGCCATTTATGTACAATGGTGAATGTACATCTCTCTTTTTCCTGAAGTCAATTATAAGTTCTTTAGTTTTTTGGGTGTTAAGTGTAAGATTATTTTCTTTACACCACAATGTCAGCCCTTGTACTTCCTTCCTATAAGCAGACTCATTGTTCTTATCAATGAGCCCCACCGCTGTCGTGTCATCCGCAAATTTAATAATTGCGTTGATGTTATGCAATGGGGTACAGTCATGTGTGTACAAAGAATAAAGGAAGGGGCTTATCCCACAACCCGGGGGGGGGGGCTCCTGTGCTTAATATCAGAGTAGAAGAGTTGGGAGATCCCATCCTTACTGACTGTGGCCTATGTGTCAGAAAATCCTTTATCCGCAAAGAAACCCTTTGTTTTATACCCAA